GCCAAGTAAGGGCTTGTCTCGACAGGAAATTAGAGAAAACCTGAAAGGTACTGTGATTTTGTTCCTTGGGAACTTTTGTCTAAGCTAGAAGCTGATGGCTCACGCCTGGAATCTTTGACAATTGGAGGCTAAGATCAGGAGGACCACAATTCAGTGCCAGCTAAGGCCAAACGTTCCCAAGACCCCAATTTAATTGGTAAAAAAGCAGGCTTCCCTGGCATAGCCTGGCAGTGCCTGTAATCCCAGCTACATGGGAACAGCTGCCCTGGGCTGTGGTCAGGCAGCCTGGGCAAAAGGTGAGACCTATTCAAAACACAGCTAAAGCAAGAAGCCTGGATGGATATGTGGCTCAAATGGTAGACTCTCTGCCACCTGCCTGGCCAGTGCAAAGCCCTGAGTTCAAACCCCAGTACCACCAAAAGTAAAGAAGAACTTTTTCCAGATGTGTTTACTTTAGAGTATGTTTTCAGTCCTGCATTTTGAAATGTATGTTTGTCTTCAGATATATTTAGATGATCAAAGGCCATGCCTGGTTTACCAGGAGTGGCAAATGTAGTTTGTGAATCCAGGGGTAACTCTGGTCTGGGGAGAAGATCAGCCACTCCTTGGAGCTGTTGCCTTTGGTGATGGTGATTCTATTTTTGGATCTTAGGCAGATTTGGGGCCTGCTGCCCTGCAGTGTCTCCATGAATTTGCATGTTGATCTTGGGGTAACTGTGAGGAGATGCGTGTCCTATGACTTCTCACCTAGTTTTCAGACCTTCTACATCGAACAATTACTTATACTACAGCATTGAAAATAAAAATAGTGGTCTTTAATCCTTCTAGTGAGAAGATACAAGGTGCATGGTAGTTATAGAGCCTCCAGAGCAGGCCGATTGGATAGAGGATACCCGGCTGCTACTTCAACTAGCAGACCCTGAATCTCAACGGTTTACCACACATTTGTTCTTGGTCACTGGCCTGAGAGTTGGCTGAGCTTCATATGACCTGTGTGGGTACACTTGAACATCCCTGCAGGACTGGGCTTCTAGGGCCTTCTATCTCATGGTGATGGCAGAGCACAAAGAAAGGGGTAAAGGCCGGATGTGCTGACTCACACCTACAATCCCAGCTACCCAGAGAAATAGAAGCATCGAGGCCCACCCAGCCTAAAAACTCGTGAGACCCTCATCTCAACCAGTGAGCTGGTCTTGGTTGTATATATCTGTGACTCCAGCTACATGGGAAGGAATGAGGAGGATTGAGGTCTGAGACCCTGCGTGAAAAGTAAACACCAATATGAAACAAAAAACAGTTGGAGGTATAGCTCAAATGCTGGAGTAGTTACCTGCCTGCCTAATAAGCCCAAGGCCCCCAGTTCAAATGTTAGGACAACAAACAAATAAGTAAGGCCCTATGACTGTTAGGCCTTGGTTTAGAATTGTGCATTGTTGCTTTGCCCTCATTCCATTGGCCAAAGCCATTCATGTAGCCAACCAGTCACACAGCCAGACCCGGGGTCCAGGGCCCAGAGGCAGTATCAAACATGGACTCTCGTGGAAGGATACACACAGCAAAGCAGAAAAGGCCTTAAATCGGTGGTGAGAGTGCAGGGAATTACAGAGTCGGGCAGAAAACACACATTCCACTTTGGAAGGATGGGTGGCAGGCCTGCCTGGTCCCCACGGCATGTTACCTTGTCTTTCTTACTGCTTCCACCATTTTCATGTAAACCCCAGGCTGATGTCATAGGTTAGTTTAGTCTCGGGAAATAAAGCTCATCATTTGAATGGTTGGGAAAGGCACAGATTTTGCAGCTGGTCCCAAGGTCAGCCCCCCTAGTGTGTGTGTACACCCACGCTGTTATGTTAAGTGTGGTCAGCTGTGAATTCACCTGTGTGTGTATGTGTGATCAATCAAGTTACTGCAGTGACTTTCAGAAGCAAAATAACTAATATTAAAACATTTTAATGGTACATTGATAATGCACACATTTCAGCATTTCACAAGGTAATAACAATCTAACACTCTAAAGCATGCCTGTATCATAAACTAAAGGAAGTTGATGGTTCTGACATATCTGCCTAATTTCAGGTAATTTTCTCTCTATTGTTTGCTAAGCTGAAGAGAGTAGCGTGGGCATTATCTTACTGATGTGTTATGTTTTACTGAAACACTTGTGTTTATTTTAATAAAAGTCTTCATTTAAAAGTATTTGATCATTTTTGGGGTTTTGGGAAAATTGAATCTGTCCTGTGTCCTAACTTAGTCAAACTTTCAAGAAAACTAGTTTCATCTTGCTTCTTTCTGTCCTTGCTTTTTTCCCTGTAATGATCTCTTGCCAAGTTATGAGGCATAGTGGTTTTATCACACTTGTTTTCTTCACAGGGCTATTGCCTGGCTAAATATTAACCATTTATAACCTGTCCCTTTAAAACTAAACCCATGGAGTTAATTTTTATAGTTTCTGCTTAAACTTTCCATTAATTTGCCTCTACATAAGTGAAACTGGATTCTATGCCTCACCTCACCAATGAAGCATCTGGCCTCGCGGGAGCGTGAGTGTGTTTGCATGTGTGTGCACGTGCATTCCCCTGTGTAAGTGTGCATGTGTGTGTTATCGAAGATGTCAGAGTCTTGTTGTTACGGGCATTACCACTTTCTCATGTTTGCATGATAAGCTCAGTCTCACCAGACAGGGAGCCTCTGCTGACGTAAGCGTTGTCTTGGGTGCTGTGCATTGCACTCTGTGATATATGCATACATACCTATATATGCACACACATATACATTATGCTTTACCCAAAGCCAGCATCTGCTGCAAAATAAAAATGAGAAGCAGAGGGATACAAAGCAAGGGATCTGAAATACTTTGGAAGTGAGATACTCTAAGAGCACCAAAAATTTAAAATTGGATTATTTCCTTTTCTTTTTACCAAACCTGTGCAGGATTCTTCTTGAAGGGAGAATGACTCCTACCCATGGAGCTGAGAGGGTTCTGAACTGTCTCCATTGGTTAAAGTATACCCTACACTAACTTCCTCTCAGGGTCTCTGTGAGGAGAGGGTACAGGTGCTTGGCAGAGTATCTGTGAGGAGGTGCTTAGCAGGGTCTCCGTGTGGATGTAACGGAGGTGCTCAGCAGGCAGCCTTTTCCATGCTCCCGGAGGTACTTTTAGGCGTTTGTCAGCCGGGCCGGGGTGAAGGGTACTGTGGAAAGGTGCTCATCCTGTGAGGGAAGCCATAGCCTGGGTCTGCAGAGGAGGGAGGCCATGTCTTGTCCTGGATTCCCAAGGAGCAGTTTGGGGACAGTGTGTCAGGGAAGTGTGACTGAAAATTTAACACACGGAACAAACAAACCAAAAGCAAAACCTTAGCTGTATCAACAGCAACAACAACAACAAACGACACTACTCTAAAGGAGAAGCACATAGAGCCACAGCCCCTTTGTGAGCTGTTCTCTGCCCCCATTAGTTTTTAAACATTTTTATTGTAAAGGTGAAGCACAGAGGGTTGCAGTTCCATAAATCAGGAAATGAGCACACTTCCTTTTGAACAGTGTCAGCCACTCCGTTTCCCCTCTTGTCTCCCCCGCCCCCAGTTGTATAGTTCATTTCCAACCTAGTGTCTAGTGAGTGTCGCTGCTGAGTTGGTTCACCCTTTGTCCCACTGTTTCTGTGCTCCCCCCCCCCCCAAATCATATAAGCTGATAAAGAAGACAGACGTCAACTATGGCAACAAATAAACCACAGGGAAAAAATGACCATAGGCAGTACAATAAAAACAACGACAACAACAACATTTGTTCCCACATTGTAAATCCTGTTACTTTTAAGTCAGAGCTTCAGCATGGTGGGATGGAAGTCATTGGTAGCCTGGGGTCAAAGCTAAGAGGCTTTTAAGAGATTATGTATAATAAATACCCCACAGCCATCCCTCTTGCAAAACTACTAAGCTCAATCTTTGATTTCTACCTAGTTGCATAGTATTTTACTAATGTTGCTTACTAGGAATCAGGAGAGGACTAGGGATCTGAGTGCCAAATGAGACTTGTCAGAGGTAATCTAACCTACTGTTTTCCAAAGGACCACCAATGGCTTCCCACACGCTTTGCAGATACCCCTTTAAATGAATCCTGGGATCAAGTAAGTGTGGAAAACCCTATTACACAGTTAGGTTTCTTTACTGAAGGATACTTTAAGGTCTTCAGGATGCGCATGTAATTCACATCTCTCAAAGAGATGCTCTATGTTGCTTTTATAACCAGAAAGATCTTTTTATTGCAGAATACATGTTATCATTTCAAGACTATCTGGCAGAGTTCAGACGTATAGTCACAAGAGCATGGCCTCTCTTGTTAAACTACCTGGGATCAAATCCTGGCTGTACCATATACTGATTTTATTATGGTCTTGCGTAAACTGCTCAGCCTCATTGTGCTTCCATTTCTCCATTTGAAATGCAACACTTAACGGTGGATTATGTTAAACATTGAAGAACGGGGCCTGACATAAAAATTGGCTAGGTAGGTAAGAGTGAGCTAGGGTAACACCCTCATTTCAAAGAAGATGACCACACTAAAGTGAGAATCACCATGCCGGTAATTATCTCCAGAAATAAAGACAGACAGGGTTCATGTTGTGTCCCACACTGCTAACTTATCTCAGGCACCACCATTTAATAGTAAAATCAACAGCTCCGGCCTCGTGGTCTGGCCCCCAGGCTCCATCTCTGTTCTGTTCTCAGTGAGCATGAACCATGTAGCCTGGGTGTTTAGCAAGAACGTGGGCAGAATAGAGCTAGTAGACTTTTCTAAGTTGGGAATGTTTTTGCTTTTTGTTAGTGAGATCCGATAGAGTAAGAAGAGTATATACTATTATGTTGTTAGTATATGCTAACAACATAACTAAGAAAGTAGAGTAAGATAAGATGATAGGTCTTCATAGGGGTCCCAAACAGAGCTGGCTCATTTTGTTCTGGCTAGCTTGTCATTGATGATCTCTGTGTTTGTTTAGGTAGCTCCTCAGATGGCTTTTCCTGGGACTCCTTCAATGAGCAGACAACCAGAGACCTTCCCAACAGAGATGGAGGTGACTGGGTCCTGGGTTACAGAGCAGGACCACCCTGCCCATTTCTGCTGCATGAGGAGAGAGAAAAGTCACACAGAAGTGATTTGTACTTGGATCTCAACGTAAGTGGAACCTCTATGATTGTTCTGTGGTTCATTGTGGTCAGCAGAGAGCCATTTAATATGAACTGTGTACATAAGGCTGCCAGTACTACATTTATTGTGTGGATTATTGTTTAAAAACATCACTTGGGCCGGGCACTGGTGGCTCACACCTGTAATCCCAGCTACTCAGGAGGCTGAGATCTAAGGATCACGGTTCAAAGCCAGCCCGGGCAGGCACATCCGTGAGACTCCTATCTCCAATAAACCACTAGAAAACCAGAAGTGGAGCTGTGGCTCAAGTGGTAGAGCTCTCACCTTGAGCTGAAGAGCGCAGGGACAGCGCGCAGGTCCAGAGTTCAAGCCCCATGACGGACAAAACAAAAACAAACAAAAAAAATCACTGGGTTGCAGAAATCCAAACCATATCTCAGTGCAGATATCTGAGTGTTTTCGGAGTATGGTACTCACATTGCTTTGCTGCTTGAGCTTCATTGTGGGAGACTCTTTGCTGCGAGTGACCTTATACCATTTACGAAAAGTTATGAATAACATTTGTCAGCCAGCCTATCTACCTGGCATTGTCTGGTGAGATCCAAATAACCTGTCTTCCTTGCTCATCTATAAGCATGTCTTTCTCTCCAGCTACTCAAACAGCTGGTGAACAGGTTGTTGGAAAATATGCTGAATTCAAAATGACCCCTTTAAAATAAAAACACAGCCCTCAACTTTCTCCCGTTCGTGCATTCATTGGTTCTCTGAGACAAAGCACTGGTCTAGCGGTTAGCTGCTTCTAGTTTTCGATGGCCTGATAGGAATGCCCACTCCCTTCTCCATATGCCCCTGTCGGATGACACTGGGAACCCAAGAAGCACTTCTTTTTCTTTTTTACCATTACCCTCAATGTCCGTTGATGATCTCATATTCTCTAATCTGTCGCTCTCTGGCCTGGACCCTGTGTGTGATGAGGATAGCTTAGGCCTGTGATCATGTAGGTGGTGGTAGTTTCCTTACCGGTGTGTGCTAGGTCCGCATGGTGGTAACCAACAAGCAGGAGACCTTTTTACTTTGCAGAACTGTAAAACCACAGCCCTCAAATGTCATTTGAAGAAAGCATTTGACAATCGTTGACACAATCATAACAGTAATAGTAGTCAGCAGCACTTTGGGAGACACAGTTTTTGTTTTTGTCCTCCTCCTGAGAAGTCAGGTGGTGTCTCTGTGAAGGAGTGTCACAGTGACCTCTGTCGGTGAACGAGGTGAAGCCGAGCTGCACAGCAGCGGCTCTGCAGTGTTAGCTGCGAAGGGCTGCCTTCTTCCTCTGCGTCTGCTCTGTTCCTTGGGAGGAGGCCAGCCTTCCCGGTGGGTGGAATTATTTCCTTCCTTAGTTTATTACAATGTTCAACATCTTAGGCAATCCTTAGTAAAGGTTTGAGACACACGGTACGGTATCTTGTGAGGTAGAGGGGAGGAACGTGAAGTCAGCAGTGAGGGGCACAGGCGTGAAACTTGGATACATTTCATTTATGTTTCTTCTTAGGTGAGATTTCTTTTCAATGAAGGACTTTTAAAACCCACATACGCACGCTCGATTTTGCTTTTCTTTTTAAATAGTTTTTACTGGTAAAGATGCTGTACAGAGGGGTTACAGTTACATGAGCAAGGTAATGAGCACACTTCCTATGGAGCGCTGTTCCCCTCCTTTGTTTGTCCATCCCTTCCCTCTCCACCGCCCAACTCCTCCCTCCCCTCCCCAAGTTGTAAAGCTCGTTTTCAACATAGCGTCTTGTACATCTCATTGTTACAGTGGGTCAACCTGTATCCTTATTTCAGCATTTTTTTATTTCCCTTCCCCTCCCCAAATTAGAAAAAATGTATATATAAGATGCAGGACACGGGAATCAAATACAGTTACAACGGGTTGTCACTGGGGGAAGAGCATACAGAAGAAACAAAAAAAAATCACATAGTACATTAAAAACAACTGCGACAAAGAAAAAAACCTCTCGAAGCATCGCAATTTTATAATTATATGTCTGTAGATAAAAATGAATATATATTCCATTCAATACAAATGTTAAGAAATGGAGTAATTTGTTTGCAGTGTTGGGGTTTGAACTCAGGGCCTTGCAGGCACTTTACGACAGACCATTTCTTCAGCTTTGGTGTAATTTCTTTAGATTATTATGCAGATCAGAAGTTTTTACACTGTGGTTTCTATATTTTGTTTTCTTTGTAATCCCTTCTCCTATCTTAGCAGTGTGAGTTGACTCTTATATGCTTAAATATTGTTGTTCCAAGCAAGATTTCCATTTGAAATGTATACAGAAAGATGGAAGGTGTGAAGTAAGAAGAATGAAGAAAGAGAAGAAAGGCAGATAAATAAGAAGGACTCAGGGACATAACATACCCCTTCTAGCCATGACCTTGCCAGTGGTGTACTTCCGCAAAGTAAGGCCCACTCCCCAAATCCCACACCCCCTTCCCAATAGTCCACTTCACTACAACTCCATCAGTGGATTCATCCATCACGATCCCCTCACCTCCCAAAGGCCCTACCTCTGAATCCTAGCCTCCAAAGCATGCACTCTGGGGAGACACTGTATCTCTAAACCCTAAGGAACACTAGGGTACTTGTCTTTGTGAGGCGCGGTACTGGACCCCCACGGCTCTGCTCTCCGTTTTCAACATAACTTGCATAGAAGACAGAGATGTAATAATTGTGGGAATTTGGAATCCACAAATCAGAGTAGACATGGTCCTTAGGCTAGGACTGTAGCTGAACCCCCTCATGTAAGTGGAGAATTCATCTCTTAGTAGCAGATCTCTGGAATACTAGGAAACTCAGGGCAGCAACTATTTACTAAATTAAATGATATAAAACAAAACTTTTCTCAATGTTCATAACTCTTCTGGCCCCAAATGTGTAAATACCAGGCTGCTCTCCAGTTGCCTTGACACTACCTGGGTATCTTACAATTTACTTCTGACACCACCTTCCAGGATTCAGCAGGCTGTGGCCGCATCTCAGGAGACTGCTCCACTGCAGAAGCCAGTGCAAAGCACCTAATGCAGCCCCAGGTTACTCAACACTTATGTCTATGCTGGCTGAGACCAGAAGTCCTAGGACTCCCTCAGGCTCAGTAATTTGCTAGGACAGCTTGATTAGATCAGGAAAACAGGTTATTTATTCCTGCTGACTTTTTAAAATAAATGCTATTTTAAAGGGTACAAATAAATAAGAGAAGAGATACAAAACTCAAAGTCTAGAAGAGACCTGAGCCCAGGAGCTTCCCTGTGGAGGCAGAACTCCTTCAGTTAGGGGTTTATGGAGGCCTTATTACATAGGCACGATTGATCAAATCATTGCCCATTGACAGCTAACTCAGCCTCCAGCCTTATCTCCCTGGAAGTCAGGACAGGGCTGAAACTTCAGTCTTGTTAGTCACATGGTTAGTTCCTGTGTCAGCCAGATTCTCCTTCCTAGGAGTTCTCCAAAAGTCACCTCATTAATATAACCTGGGGTGTGCTGGAGAGCAGGATGGTACGGGTAACCAAAAGGTCCTCCTGAATTTATTTCCAACATTCAAATGTTATTATAGAAGACACTTCTCTCACTCTTGTTAGACAGGAAGGTTCCAAGGGATCTGAGCAGGAACTAGAGACAGAGACCAGATACATGTGTGTCATTAATTATATCATAGTACCACATGGCCACTGCGTGTCACAGTGAGTGGCACGGCAGCCTGTGTCGGAGCGGACGGCTGTGTGTGTGTGTGTGAGTGTCCTTCACGGTGTGTCACTGTGTGTCTGAGTGTGTGCAGAGGCTGTGTGTGACTGTGCTTCACGGTGTGTCACTGTGTGTCTGAGTGTGTGCAGAGGCTGTGTGTGTGTGTGACTGTCCTTCACGGTGTGTCACTGTGTGTCTGAGTGTGTGGAGAGGCTGTGTGTGTGTGACTGTGCTTCACGGTGTGTCACTGTGTGTCTGAGTGTGTGGAGAGGCTGTGTGTGTGTGTGACTGTGCTTCACGGTGTGTCACTGTGTGAGTGTGTGCAGAGGCTGTGTGTGTGACTGTCCTTTACGGTGTGTCACTGTGTGTCTGAGTGTGTGGAGAGGCTGTGTGTGTGTGTGAGTGTCCTTCACGGTGTGTCACTGTGTGTCTGAGTGTGTGCAGAGGCTGTGTGTGACTGTGCTTCACGGTGTGTCACTGTGTGTCTGAGTGTGTGGAGAGGCTGTGTGTGTGTGACTGTCCTTCACGGTGTGTCACTGTGTGTCTGAGTGTGTGCAGAGGCTGTGTGTGTGTGTGACTGTCCTTCACGGTGTGTCACTGTGTGTCTGAGTGTGTGCAGAGGCTGTGTGTGTGTGACTGTCCTTCACGGTGTGTCACTGTGTGTCTGAGTGTGTGCAGAGGCTGTGTGTGTGTGTGACTGTCCTTCACGGTGTGTCACTGTGTGTCTGAGTGTGTGGAGAGGCTGTGTGTGTGTGTGTGTGTGACTGTCCTTCACGGTGTGTCACTGTGTGTCTGAGTGTGTGGAGAAGCTGTGTGTGTGTGTGACTGTCCTTCACGGTGTGTCACTGTGTGTCTGAGTGTGTGCAGAGGCTGTGTGTGTGTGACTGTCCTTCACGGTGTGTCACTGTGTGTCTGAGTGTGTGGAGAGGCTGTGTGTGTGTGTGTGTGACTGTCCTTCACGGTGTGTCACTGTGTGTCTGAGTGTGTGGAGAGGCTGTGTGTGTGTGTGACTGTCCTTCACGGTGTGTCACTGTGTGAGTGTGTGCAGAGGCTGTGTGTGTGACTGTCCTTTACGGTGTGTCACTGTGTGTCTGAGTGTGTGCAGAGGCTGTGTGTGTGTGTGACTGTCCTTCACGGTGTGTCACTGTGTGTCTGAGTGTGTGCAGAGGCTGTGTGTGTGTGACTGTCCTTCACGGTGTGTCACTGTGTGTCTGAGTGTGTGCAGAGGCTGTGTGTGACTGTGCTTCACGGTGTGTCACTGTGTGTCTGAGTGTGTGCAGAGGCTGTGTGT